TCACTCATTTTGATCTTTAGTTGTATCCATTTGACCCCTAACATTTTCGAATCTTCATCGTGAGCTTCGACACCACTTTTGAATATTTGCACTTTTGCCCCCAAGTTTTGGATCTTACCATTTTTCGCTTCTTTCTTTCAATTTCACTTCTATTCATTGAGTTCCACCTAATAAAAAATTATGTAATAAATTAGGCTATACTTTCATTAAAAGAATTACGAAAAGTCAATATTTTGGAGCTCGAATAAGTGTATAAAATACACTTATCACACATCACGATTTAAAATTTTCAAAATTAATTATTTAATCTTGAAATGATTAATTAATATTCAAAAAGAATATATTGGCTAGGCCCATCTAACTATAACGTGAACCCACAACCCGCAACCCGGACTCGAACATTTGCACGTGCTGTGTCGAGCCAAGCCGTCTGATTGATTGGACGGATGGCGATGGCAACGCACGCAAACCCAATAGGATCTAGGTCCTCTTCCTTCAAAGACTAATGATATCGCTTGGTGCTCAAACCTAAGTCTAAAGGTAGTGAGTTATGAGAAATTCATCACTTTATTCATTTCCTATGTGGGACAAAGTTTAATCTTTATCCCTTCATATTTCAATTTATCCATTTCAACAACCTTACTTTAGGTATTAATTTCTCATTCATCCAAAAATAGTTTTGAACATCTAAATATACTAAAAATCATATACTTATAGAGTAGAATGTTTTCGACTATTGTCCTGCTAAAAATGAATAGTGCGACCTATGTAAAAATTTTGGTTAAAGATTGATAACCATCACTTTACTAACTTATTCCAAAAAAATCCCCCACATGAATGGAAATTATAAAAAAAAAAAACAAATGAAAATGAAAATGAAAATGTAGACACAAAAAATGAGTACATACGATAAGCTATAACATCAGGAGAGGTAGTTCGTGGATTTGAACCTTCCTACAATCAAATTTACTTGACTAACAATGAACGTGAAGTCTTGAATTGTTTAGTCGTTGTTGTAAACCAAAACAATAGTACCTACACAATAACTTTCCTAACTCATTCGATTCTCATGGTTGTTTTCATTTTAGCTTATCTTAGTTTCTTAGGTGTTTTAGAGAATTCTAGCCTTAGAATGTTCTCATAGAAACAACCCCACTTCACACTTAAGTAGATGAGCTCTTATTATGAGTCACCTTCCATATCACAATTGATGTAAAATGCTTGATTTTGAACAAAATTTATCAAACGGTGCTACATATTTTTCATCTCGATCACTACGAATAATCTTTATTTGTTTGCCAAGTTGGTTTTCATCCTTGTTCTTATAGTGTTTAAATAATTCCAAAGCCTCATTTTTGCTTACTAAGTATACATAATAATATCTTGTGCAATCATTGATAAAAAGTAATGAAGTACTACTTTCAATTTGCCCAAATTTTCACATATATCACCGTGAATTAGTTCTACCGATCTTGTGAACTAATTATAGATGTCGAAATTTAGCCATCGCTAAACACCGAGCTCAGATTTTGACCGTTCATCAGAAAATAGTTAAGTAGTCACTCTACCATTTTTTCACGGCGACGGTTCCCGATACGAATTCATGTTCTCTACTTCGCTCATTCTTAAACTCCCAACTCATCGAGATATTTCACCAATCAAATTGATCTCACCAATTGATGAGTCAACGAACCATTAAAATTACAAAAATATATACATAACTTTGTCAAGAGATTTAGATGAAATACATGACGATTAAATGAAATTTAATTCTCCACAGGGTCATGCTATAGAATTAACTCGATATGTGGTCCGCTCAATACACTCCAAGTGTCCTAGTATCACCTTTAGCTATTTTTGTGATAAGGACAAATTGCAAACCCAAATAGTGAATTAGTCAACACCACAACGTTCCAGTAAAATGTGTCAACCATTATACATAAATTGTGAACAAATTATTTATGATCAAAATATAAATTATGCCACATTGTACTATTCAACACAAGTACCCAACTTATATTGCCCCTGTTTGGCCTCCATTAAATTAAATTACATTATATTACATTAAATTTTTTTCTTTCTTNAACTGGGTAATATATAGCCCCTGTTTGGCCCCAATTAAATTAAATTACATTACATTAAATTTTTTTCTCTCTTCATTACAACCACACATTCATCAAATAAAATAATATTACACACAAATCTAAAACTTTTCATTATTTTTCCACCACACATTCTCCCATCAATCACTATTCCAAAAATTTTCAACTATCAAAAATGCCAAATAATGGGGGCCAAACAGGGGCATTATTACAATTGATCATAGACACTTTAATTCGCATGCTCAATAATTAAATATAAACAATTTTATTTAATATAATAACATTGTTATTTTTACATTAGCAAAAATATACTATATGGGCACACAATCCAACAAAAATTGCTAGTGCGGACTTGTGTTTTTGCAAAGCCACAGCTTAAAAGATAGGCGATTATAGCCAGGAAATGAAATGCCAAAGAATTGAACTTTTGGGAGGCCATCTTTTTGGCTTATATTCTTGTCTTCTGGATTTTTTACTATTAGCAGTTCTTTGCTTTTTCTTTATTCTTCCTACAGAATTCTTGAACTTTTGGACAAATTGAATCATGATTTATTGTTTAGGAATCTACCCTATTTATATTGTCTTACTCGCCATTTTCTTGCTTTATCTATAAACTTTAATTTGGTTTTAGGTGAGACCAAGAAAAGGTGAGGTTCTCCTTATTTATAGCAAATTTTGTTCCTCTATTGTTGGTATCTACTATTTTCCTTGGCCATAAATTGGCCAACAAAGAGAGAGAGACCATTAATATTCTGTTGCATCTAAAATTTACTAATGAAATATACATGAAATCACTATTTTTTTTTGTCTTTTAGTTGAAATTACCATTTCAATTCCAAAATAGAAAATATCACAAGAACTAAATTAATTTTAAAAATATTATAAATGAATGATATTAATTCGTCCTCAAATGAACTTGAGTAGGTTAAACGGGGACTTAAAAAAGGAGGAAATATTGATTGCTTTAGTTGTTTGCTTGGTACCAAACTGAAATAACCAAAATGACAATGTGCAGCATCATATCAATTATATTGTCAAAGCCTGGTATTCATACTAAATCAAATCAATATAATTACCACATCGCGAGAGAATTTAATCAAAAAACCGCAACAATAAAATTATTTCATCAATGTACATCTACGACGATAATATCACTAGTGTTATTAGGGTCTCAAAAAAAAATATGGAGCTAGATGAGGGCCCATATAAAACACGCTTTTGAACTTGGCCTTTAGCTACAGCAATTGGTTAAGCATTTTCAATCCAGAACATATACAACCTATTATCGCTTTCCTGGTATTGGTTTATATGCAAATCTAAGTTAAACATCTAATGTGGCATGCATACAAATAGTAATAGTATAAGTTACATGCTAGCAGTAATAATGTAATGCTATGAAAATATTGATATCGCAATAGTCCTCCATGTCCAAGTATTGATATTTATATAACGCGTGGACTTTTGGATAGAGGAGAGGCTAAATGGGTGTATTAATAGAGGCTCAACTATGTGGGTGTATTTACAAGAACAAAGGCTCGACTCAGTGGAGATGCTCAACAAAATGGGTGCACTCAGGAGAAGCAGATGCACTTACTATAATAAGGCTTGACTAAGTGGATGCAATTGGGAGGATAAAGGCTCAACTAAGCGGACACACTTAAGAGGATAGAGGCTTGATTAAGTGGGTACACTTGGGAGATTAGAGGCTTGACTAAGTAGATGTACTTAGGAGAACAGAGGCTCGACTGAGTGGGTGCACTTAGGAGAATAGAGATTCGACTAAGAGGGTGCTTAGTTCAATTTGTTTCGTAGAGCGCACATTACAGAGTACAGTGATGGTTTGTTGTTGCTTCGATATATACAGTGACGCTGCGACAAAGGCCATCCATCCGAAGAACTAATGCTTGTAGGCCATGTGGTGAAGGTTAGTGTTGAAGGTGGTA